ATCGAAAAAATTCAGCGAACTATTTGATGAACACCACGGGCCGAGTAAAAACCGAGGGCGGAGGAGGACGGCGGCGGAGGCGGCGGCGCACACCGGCCCCCTGAGTCCGGAGCAGGGAGAAAACTAAATCGGTGGTGGCGGCGGCAGTGCCGGCGGCGGCAGTGCCGGCGGCGGCAGTGGAAACACACTATCTTTTTTGTTTGGCCTTATTTATTACACATAATTCTGTATTATAACTTTGTTGTCTTAATCATATCCTTATAATACAAAATGAAATTTGTTGATAAGGTAACAGGAAACATTATGTGCGCATGCGGGTTGCTATTTTAGTCGACAGGCTGAGAAAGCACCTGGATGATGGATAGAGGTGATGGTGGAAAAAAAAACAAACAAAAAAAAACACCAAAAGGTGTATTAGTTACTATATTTAAGAAATGTCGGCTTTTTCTTTTGAATCATCCGAAGAAGGGCATATTATCAAGCTGAGTCATTAGATCAAAAGGCTAATCGCTATAAAAATATTATGAAACCGTCTTAGTTATTCTATAATTTACTAGTTGTAGACATGGTAACTTTATGAATAAAACTATTTTTAATTGAAATTTCTCTGTGTGCCACAGGGGGATGTTTTCTGAGATCCCTGTATTTTGTGCAATTAAGTTTTGGGTTATTTTTATTATATTAAATGTACTGTGTTACACAACATTTGCATCAGTTAAATGTGGATTTTTTTTTTACTCTACATTTTATCACGTTTTAAAAAGTAGTTCAGCATTGAGCTGTTGATTGAAACTAGTCATCATTATTTACATCATAAGCATTACTAGTGAAGGACTGGAAGTAACTTCTATTATATTTGTACTGCTGCTGCACATTGGGTATTGACTGCTGTTTTCTGTATTTTGAGCAATTTAACATCTGTAACATGTCATGCACTGTGTTTAACGAGTAAGTGTTGAACCATTTACTTGTGGAGTTTGTTTCTACATCTTATGTTTTAAAAATCTGAATGATTGTGCTGTTGGTTGAAACTAGTAATTGATATACAATAATGATAACCAGTAAGTTACAAAACAGTCTGATTTTGTGGTATGTTGTATTCATGATGCCATATGAGTACAATAAAAGTGTTAAACAACATATTTTGATCCATTTATTTTGTTGAATAAACCTGGAGTACACAGCTGCTGATGTAATTATGTTCATTAATGCATAGTTTTCAAACATTTACCCTTTAAATATTATACTTCTTGATTATGAATGTCAGTCAAAATACAAAAATGGGTTGCCATGATGATCATTTACGGAACCCCAAAATTTGTTATAGTGGTTTCCCATTGGGTAATCTAACGGAACCGAAAAACAGTTTCTGTAAATTTCTGAAATTCTCAGGCCTGAAATCTTAATTCTTACATGCAATGCTAAAGTGAGCAATGCAAGGAAGTTGTGCAATGAACTGACCTGGATATTACTACTTTACACACAACTTTAGGTCAGTTTGTTTATGTATATACATACATACATACATACATACACACACACACACACACACACACACACACACACACACACACACACACACACAAATAGATCAATACAAACAGAGTGCAACGTAAAACAAACAAATGTCGCATTAAAAATGACACACTGGTGTCAGAAACATACAGTATGATCAGAAATAATGTCCTTACAAATTCATGAATTAAATGCATTGTGTCATGCAATGCATTTTGGGAACCGAAAGGTAAAGTTATTTTTTCTAATCATATATTTACAGTTGACCGGGCCTGCAAATAGAGAAAATCCGCATAGAATTGACACCCATTGAATTTCATTGGGGGATTTTTGTTATTTTATGCATTATAATTATTTTAATTTATTGCGTTTCTGCCAAAAATCAGCATGACCTAAAAAAAAACAAAAACTTATCAGATTCTGTCTATAAGCTGAAATAATGAGTGTTACCTGTTCAATATTTTTTGAAGTAAATAGCACGGTGCCTATTTGTGGGTGGTGTTTGTCTTCAGTAGCATGAAAACTAAGGTGCATCCAAATTCCATTTTTACAGTTTGCTTCTGGATGAACATTTCACCTATTTTGTCCATAGTTTCAGTGGCTGGTAGAGCCAAAATTAAAAATATCAAAGAGTTGTATTCGTTTGGGCAATTACATGTTCAACACCCCAATCAAACCAGTCAAGTTGGTCTGAGCCTTTTACCGCCTGCACACTTCAACAACGAAGTAGATTTGGACTACACATGCATCATGTGAACCTAATGACAGGGATCAGTAATGAAGCCTGTCCATTAGAGGTCACACACCAACACTAAACAATAAATATACGTTGACGTTGCATTGCTTTTTGACAAACAATAGCAAGATGGGTCCGAAACTTGATGCGGTACGTCCATTGAGAATGAAACCACTGTTTACAGTGTCAAACAGTTTCCGCAATGCCGGCAACTGAGTAGCTGAAGAGTAAATGACAGTTCGCACGGTAGTGTAAACGATGCGACTACACCTGTTCTAGAGGTAGCCCGGTGGCTGGAAGCCCGATCATTTAATTTCACACTGTCGCCCAATTTCATCTTGCAGTTCTTCCCGGTGTGTATCTACACAAGACAAACACGCGTTGTTGAGCCATTTATTGACAAAACACACTGATGTAGAAAAGTTGCGCTGTCAACCAGCGAAGTGCTAAGTGGACCAGGTAGCTGTTAGCTTTCCTTCTCCAAATGTCATGAATCTTAGGACGCACCCAGTAACGTGGTCAACAAACATTGTCGGTACGGAAGCAACCACTCATACAAAGTATCAAACATACCAATGCGCCGTGTCAGTGTTTTAATTGAATTATCAATCGTGTTTAACTCATCTCATTAGGCCCCAAAACAACTGCTAATGTTAGTACGGCTAGCGCGAGCAAGATGGGATCGAACGCTTAGCCAATCTATGTCATGTTGACAATCCGTAGCCAAGTGCGGCTGCCCGGGTTCGGAAGTCGAGCTCCGGTGCGTACCGTGCTGCGCAGAGGCCTGGAGAATCGCTCCCGAAGTGCCGTCAATGACTTTAATAGCCCCTTTGCTGGTGACTGCTAGGATAGCGTTGAGGGCCGGGTGGTATGAAAGGCTTCGCAGGCCCTCCTCGTCGCAACGCAGGCAACCGTCTCGGAGTACAATCCAGTCAGAGGGGGTGGACGAACCGGAGCCCGGCGAGGCCGCGGCCGCCATTTTTCCTTACTTTCCCCTTCCCGTCCCTTCTTGATTTTGCTACAAACCGCTGACACACTCAAGAGAACTAAATCTACAGGACTAGCTCCGGGCTGTCAGTCCTCTGCCGCCGCTGATCCCTTCTGCTGCTTCTTCCCGTCCGCCCGTCAGCGTAGCAGCGGGTATTCACTAACAACGCTGAGAAAGTCCTGTCAGGGTTCGCCGCTGTCAGTTACATGATAATCAAACGAAACTGGCGTAGCCGGTGTCACATCTCGCGAGGCTGTTGTGTGCAAACGAGAACAGCAAAATCACTGTGTCTCGCATTGGCCCAAGTATGAACGACACATTGTTGTACAGTACTTGCCACTGCCAAGAGCGCCTATTAAAAAATCTCCTGAGTATGAGTACTCGTAAGTTTTTTTATTATCCTTCCGCCATGTTTTGACCTCAGCAATAACTTAATGTATCCAATTGAACTGAAGTGTACCCTTCATGTGTTCAAAATGTTTTATATCACGTTTTGTGACGTCTGTGACAAACGTTTTAAGAATACAAAAATATTTTACATCAAAGATGTTTATTTGTTTTGTTTTGCTACCATTGAAAATAATATTTTTAAAAAACAGCTGATTTGGGGCCGAAGGCAAACTGCACTCAAGTCTGTGACTGGTCGCCAGTCATGCTACATTTTTTATTGCTTGATTTATTGAACATATACACACGTTGAAAACATGCACATAAAATGATTACACTACTAGGTTATTTTTATCCCAAAAAGGATCGCAAGGTAGAACAAAAACAAAAATAACAAAACACAAGAAGTTTTGATAGAACCAGGCTTACCTGGTTTGTGAACTCTTTCAAATACAGTATACATGTTAGGCGAAAACAAACAATAGCCTTTATATACGCGCACTGATTATCTTATCAATGGACTACCCTTGTATAACAGATTCACATATAGTCATTAAACGTGTGTATATATTATTCATATTTATACCTGATTTATATATTTTTGTAACACTATATTTCTGAAACTCCTTTCGAACACTGCAAGTGATTCAAACCTTTTCGATTAATTTACATAATTATTCCACAGATTAACACATTTAACAGACACACATTTGCTTGATGTTAGTTCTTATGTTTATTTTTTTAAAGTCACTTGAGCAACTTAAGTGATATCAGCAACCCTCTCTAATTTCGCTCAGCTTCTGAATACTGCAGCAAAGTCGGTTATTGTATGCTATGTACATTATTTGTCCTGTTTTAGATTCAACTAAGTCATAGAATTTGAGTGTTTAATTTGATAAATAATTGATTGGTTGGTTGGTTCTACATAATTTGAACAGTTGAGAATTTGTATCGCTCGTTTTGTCGTTTATAGATTGAGTATTTGTTTTGTACGTATTACTCAACACAATATATCACTTATGGTAGTAATAATGAACAGTATAATGTGTACCTTATATGCTCATTATGTTTTTCCTTTATATATGTTTTTCCTTGGTTTTCTAAAGGATACCTATATTTTTGGATAGTTTACTTTTAACATGTTCTGTGTGAGATTTCCAGCATAGTTTTGCATCATTGTCGTCAAAAAAATGAATTTCATGTTCTATCTATTTGAATAGAGTCTACGATGATCTTGACTTGGTGTGTGGTTTGTATGGTGATTACAAGATTATAACATTTGTTTTGTTTAATAAATAACATTCAAATTTATTTCTATCAAACTAAAAATAGATTTGTATGAAACCAGTTATTTAACATATTTGATTCTTTTTCAACAGTAGTCAGAAGTTGCTCGAGATTTTCTACTCATACATCCAAGGCAACGCCTCGGCTTCTGTCATCTTTATCACTAATCTATACACATTAATCTACATACCAGACACATGCAGCAGGATTTGTTAAGAAAACATTGCACACATTGCACAATACTGTAATCCCTATCATGTAATTCTTTTTTCCTTCCTCACATTCTCAATTTTCCGCACACCCAAGTGGAATTGTTTCCGATGATTGTTTTGTCTGGAAGCCTTTTTTTTTTTTTAACATACATATCCATAGTCCTTAATTATGTTTTATGTATTAGTACGCATTTGCTAAAGTCTGAGCTTTTATTTTTCCTTGGCCTAAGGGATCAATCTGCCTCATTTCAGCAAAACTGGACCTTTTCGATTAAGACAATTAGAGGGAAACTCAGAATAGCATGATGCTGTATGTAATTACCGCAAAACACCCAGGAAGCATCCAACCAAAGTACTGATCTTAATCAATTCATTTTCTTAAAACAGTTTTATTCTTTGGCTTTTGACTATTGTTTTACTGTTTTATGTTATTTGTTGTTCTGCCTGTAACTGTCATTGTCTTCATATCTGAATTTTACTTGAAGTATAGAATTTTCTATGCAGTTGTGGTTGTTTTTGAAGTACACTTTAAAGTTGAGCTGATCTCCCCACTAAATGTTAGGACCGAGGGGGAGCCCGAGGATTGTTGTCCCGGCTTTAAAAAAAAAAAAAAAAGTGGTCACCAGGAAGACCAGCAGCAAAACCACAAATCTCTGGTCAGTGGGTCAACTGTCACAACTGAGCCACGGCAACCCAGCAAGACCAACATGATGGTGTTGCTCCGCTGGTAGCTGGTAACACAAACAAGACTCCAGCTAATCATCAGCTATCACGAGTTCCTGGCTGGACCCCAGCAACATGCTGGTCCTCCTGGGTGGTTTTCAGTGACCACAAAACCATGCTGGTCTACACTGTGTTTGTTTGTTTTTTTAAGCAGTGGCGGTAATAAGTGTCATCTTTTTATTGACAAATCTCAGTGTAGAATATATCCGTCCATTTTCCAAACCACTGTATCCTCACAAGGGTCGCGGGGGATGCTGGAGCCAGTCCCAGCTGTCTTTGGGCAGTAGGCGAGGGGCACCCTGAACCGGTTGCCAGCCAATCGCAGGCCACACACAGACAAACAACCATCCGCGCTCACACTTTGGGACAATTTTGAGTGTTCCATTAACCTGCCATGCATGTTTTTGAAATGTGGGAAGAAACCGGTGAACCCGGATAAAACACACACAGGCAAGGGGAGAACACGCAAACTCGACAGAAGGAGGCCGGAGCCAGAATCCAACCTTGCACCTCTGTACTGTGAGGTCGACGCGCTAACCACTGGACTACCTGGCCACTCCAGTAAAATATATCATTTTTTAAAAATATAGATGTTTACGTGCCAAAATGCACACAAGTTTTAGTTTTTTTCCATTGCGTGTATGGGTGTCTCTGTAGTTTTGTCATGACATGAACTAAATAAATTCACAATCAGTGGGTTACTTTGTATTGACATAGACACACTTTATGGAGAAAGACTGTTTTAGTGACTGACCGAAAGTTAACACACCAGTAAACAATCTTTAGAAGTGTTGCCAACTTGCCAAAACTGATAAATGAGTTAGTCTCGCAGTTACATCTCTCCATAGAATTTTCGTCGTCACAATTTGTATTCTTGCAGAATTTTCATGAACAAGGCCAATCTGCAATATACTGATTAAAAAGCAAGAGTAGCCATACTCTTTTGAAAGTTGTGAACAATTAAAAGGCAATGTTATGCAACAAAAAGTATGTGAACCCTTTGGAATTACCTGAACTTACTTTTTTCCACCACGCATGGTAAATATTTACACAGTGTGTTCAATAAAAATACATGAGAACATATTATTTGTGTGGTATTAGTTCAAGCAAACTGTTTGTCTATTGTTGTGACTTGATGAAGATCAGAACACATTTTATGACCAATTTATGCAAAAATCCAGATAATACCTTAAGGGTTCACATACTTTTTCTTGCAACTGTATTTTACGATTGGGATTAAAATGTTTTAAAAAAACAAAACATTTGACCAGGGTCCTACTGAATGGTGTCTCGGATCATCCGCAATCACAAATATTTGCCACCAAATTTGGTACAGTGCATTTTAAGGAGAACAGTGCTTCAAAAGCTGGCGTAAAAAGTCTCTACCATAAGCAACTTATAAATGGTATCATCCCATCTGGATTGAACTGGTTGGAGGGCTGCACGGTTGAAGCTGTGAAAGCAGCTGCTTTATTTTTTTAACTGAACATTATGAAGACATAAGAGTTAAAAGTACATATACAAGGAACACACAATGCTAACATCCCCAGATATTTTTTTCCACCTTGTGGGGTATGTGTCACGGTCCATGAAAAAGTCCACAGTTCAAATTCATCTCGTCAGACACCGGTATAGAGTGATAGGAAGTAAATGTACAGAAGGAAAATGGGATAGATGAGAAGAGGCTTCTTTGTTTTAAATTCATCGCCAACCAGCAGTGATGCAGCGCTGTAGGCAGCCCAGAAAACTCCAAACAGCTGAAAAGAGCAAACAATGATAACCATCAACATCTGATTTTTTTCTTATTATATTAACAAACCTAAGAGCGTGTTAATTAAAAGCACATTTCCAACAAGTATGAAACATCCAAGTCACATCAAACAAAACGATGCTGCTTAAATAAAAATTGAACCTGTTCTTTTGCTCTGCGAAGAATGACCTAATACTTGTCCGACTGTACCTTTCTTACTGCGGTCGTAGGTTGCAGAGCTGCTAAATAGCATTTGAACACACTGAGGTCTTCCTAATGATTTGCCCCGCTCTTGTCACTTAGTAAGGTCGTCAAGATGTTGCAAAAGATTTTGGTATCATGTAGTGAACAACTACAGTATTGGAATGATGGTAACCTTCACCCTTTTAGGGACAGCGGTTACTACAGTGGACAGCTTATCATGTTATCAGGTTACAGGCTGCATGAAAGAGTTAACATTAAGACCTCTGTGAAAAGTTTTTATCAGAACTAGCTCCTATTAGCCAAGGCTCGACATGCAGGGTTTTGCACCCCAGTTTGCGAGGCAAAATTTGCATTTCGTGCCACATCAAAACACATTGAATAGCAAAACTGAGAATCAACCGCGGAGACTTCCCCGGGCTGGACGTCAAATACTCGTAGGCATTCGGAGGTGTGGGCGAGCTCGGTGCTACTTGGAACACACCAGGGAGCCAACAATAAGCGGAGGGGGAAACTAATGCCATCGGTAGCATCCGCTACTCTTTAAAATTTTCGGAATCATGATGTGTTACTGGTGTAACGAGTTGTGTCCAGTGATTTCCATAACATTTGTCAGCACTGCGTTTTTTGCAGTGTTGCATTTCAATTTGCAGCTTGATCAAGGCGCAAAATCCAAATTTTGACTTGCCAACTGCAATGCCGAGCCACTCATTTTGAGCGTTGTTGTGCATGTGACTTACGGCTTAATTACGATTTCTAAAAGCAGTTTATTTCTTTCTATTTTCTACATTACGTTGTGCATCTCAGGATGCGAGCGCATGAACGTCATTGACTCACTTTGATGAAGGTCGAAACCACCTCAAAACCTCCTATCACAAGAAGAAACGGGGCTATAACAATTAGCGGAAGAAGGGAATATCCAATCACTCCTAGGACCTGACCGTAGGAAACCTGCCCAAAACAAGTCTCATTAGAACAACACTTATTGCATTCGAAAAAGTGTGGCGACTAAAAATCATCTCAACTTACCTCGCCGCCAAGAACACGTGCCAAGAGAAAAATTGTTAGTGATCCAAATATCCAGATGGTGATGATCCAGGAAACCACCTGCCAATTCAAAGCAGCGTTTCAGTTTCAGGGTTCTTTTAACGGGCATTTGAATCAGACAGCTTGGCACAATGCCCATCATTACAACTTTTACAGTATATCTTTTTCGTGCCAGGTGAGCCAGGTACAAAATAAGCCAAGGTAACTCTGAGAAAATCGCAGCTTTCTTTGGCATGCGACGTATCTGCAGTAATGCAGTCAAATGGCTTAATATTATTCCGGATTCCCTGTCATCCGGAACAGGATCGGAGGTATTAAAAAATGGATGGGTGGAACCATTTTCACTCAGTACCATAGTTCAGTATCACTGAGTTCAAGAAAGTATGGAGAACAGTAAGGATCACAAAAACAACTTAAAACTGACAAGATTTTGCTGCCTAACTTATATTCCACAAGCGCAATATGAATCAGAATGCAGTGTTTAGGCTCGTGAGGGCGCATAGAACATATTATTGTAAAGAAAATGTTGGGTTTGACTTCCCCTTTAAAAGCGTATTGAATTATACATAATAATTGGGAATGGTTATTCCGGAGTAATATAGAAATGTGGAATAATATTGAATGATGAGTAATACTATGGAATGTTGTTGAGCAGTAATATCGAGCTTTTCCTAATGAGCTGAAAAGTTTAGAGTTGGAATTATATCAGGCTGTCAAAATGTGGAATTAAGAGGTAACAACAAAAAATTTACTTTTTTTGAAATGCCAAAAAAAAACATCCTAGGAATGCGCTGAACAATTTTGAATTGCTAAACACTAACCTACCTTCCTCCATAAATAATATGGATAATAAAATCTAAAGTTTTGAGATGAGCCTCAAATGGTTTTGTGGAAATTGGAGATGCAGTTTGTAACACATCTTGTAACATTTGGACCATCATATAATGATCTGCTCACCCTAAACTGTCCATAGATTGAGATCATGGAGAAGAGCAGGACCACAGCAAGTGGGCCCCAGAAGTCCGGGTTATCTCTGACCACCTGTCTGTTGTAGCCCAACGATGGCATTGGCATAAGCACACACCGAATCTTGTAGTAGATGTCCTTCACGTCAATGTCCAGCTCATCACTGATCACACATACATCATCACATTTAATGACAAAAGAGTTAAATGGATGAATGGATTTGCATTCTAAGAAGACAGTCAAATCACATAACAACAAAAGAAAAACATGAAGTGCATCCCTGTTTAAAAATGATACAGAAACCTAAAGTTTCACCAAGCTAGGCATCCATGATATTTATCAGTATATCTAGACTGCTTAGACCAGGGGTGTCAAACTCATTTCACATGGTGGGCCACATACGGCCTCGGTAGATGTCAAGTGGGCCGGACCATTAAAATGATACAATACTTTGCTATAAATAACCAAAACAATATGTCTTTCCTTTGTTTTGGTATAAAGAAGCACAAAAACATTAGGAAAATATTGAAATTTAATGAACATATCTTTTACAAAACATTTCATGAAGCACCTTACATTTCCTTCGACAAATGTGCAATTTACTTTTATCATTCACACATATGCATTGCAACTGATCCCACTGATTGTACAAACTTTAACAAGTAATTGGTATTGAAAAATATAGTAATGCACTTTAAGATTAAACAAGATTCATAAAGAAAGCAAGTTTTAAAGCATTTACACGTGCATATAAAATCTAAATGTAATCCCTGCCTACACCTTACAAACTAAGGAGAGTGCTATTAAATGTGTAAATGTGAGAGTGCTATTGATAGCGTCTGCTGTCATGGGTCTGTCTCAGTGACAGACTGAGGCTGCTGTTGTCTTCTTCTCTGATCAAAACAGTGTCCCCTTGCGGATACTCAATGAATTGCACCGGATTAAAAATATTAATTCTGTGTCTTTAATGCATTTTTTTCACTTTTACATTATCCTGCGGGCCTGATTGAAGCTACTTGCGGGCCGGTTCCGGCCCGCGGGCCGTATGTTTGACACCAATGCTTTACGTAATCATCTCGCGGGCCGGATTAAACTCCTTTGCGGGCCGGATCCGGCCCGCGGGCCGTATGTTTGACACCCCTGGCTTAGACTTATGTCATGTTAACATAAATAACATAACTCAACAACAGCCAGTAAGCATTTGAAAGTGTTGAATGACTCGAAAAATAAAGTCGGCAACAACAACAGTATTCTTGAGTAAAAATAATATTTTCCACCATCAAAAAATTGTTTCGGGCATTCACACTAGCCAATTCAGGCAAGTACAACAGCCTAGAAATAAGGAGTAATAAATCGATTGTCCACTTTCTCCATAGTTTAGTTAAATGTCCATCCTTATTTCTATTGGCTAATTATTGTCATAAGATGTCCATTTTTTTGTGCTTCTTTTTTATTTTACGGCTAGTTAAGCTTTCCTGCGATAATGTGTCCACACAAGCAATGACAAACACATTTGTCACAATTAAACATCTTACACAACAATTTAACATTGCACATCTGTCTACCAAAGGGGTCATCAACTTCAAAATAAGTAGTACTCAGCATCAATAAGGTTGGTGATCCCTGGTTTAAAATGTGCAATTTAAATTTGCAGCAATACCACAAGTCTGTCTTTAAGATCCCCTAGAAATGGCCACGTTGACTCTATAGGCATTGTAATAGCACAAAAAAAAAAAATCATTGACTTACAGAAGAGGTTTGTTGTCCTCACCATCATCTTCCTCCACTTCCAGCAGCCAACCGTACCCTCGCTGCCTCAGGAAGGCAGTGGCATAAGGGTCTTTACCACTGTCACTGCCCATATTGACTTTGATCTCAGGGGCAGCGATTGTGCCACTAAGCTCTGTAGGATATAGATGATTATTATTTTTTTGTTATTTATTTCAAATATATTACAAGTCATTACTGGAAAAACACAATGCGACTGAAATACTTTAATTAATTATGTAATTAGATGAATTCACAATCCATACAGTATTCTTGACCAGTTGAGCATTAATAAGATACCATCTAAAAAAAAACACAATGGTCAAGAGCGAATCATATTGCTATGTAATCGATCAAACATAATGTCAAAAATATATATTGGATGACCAACTGGATTTGTGTGAATATCTAGCATTAGTCACGACACATCCACATTGGGTTTAGTAAAATGATTCCATAGCCAAGTCATTGCTACACAACTAACTAAGCAACATTTACACTTCACGCAACACGTGTAAATATTGTTGACAACATTCGTGACAAAACAATACAATACCAGACCAGCATAATGACGCCAAGTGATGCGTTCTTGGGCCTCGTATGCTCGCAGCCAAGCTCAATCGCCGTTAGCTTACCTTGCGCCTCTGTCGAGGAGACAAATGTAAAGTCTCCGTTGTTGGGAGAAAACTGCATGGTTTCAGTTCAAACGCGTCAAATTCACAAAAGACCATTCGAATAGGAAAGTTGGGAAATATCCCGGGGGGTCGCTGTCATTAGCTACAGCTCTTTGGGGTGTTCGACTATCGCATCTTGTTTTCGTCTGTTGACTCCGTGAAGGAAAGCGGAAGTGCAGAGGATGCTGGGAAATGGGACACGTCTCATGATGCATTCATGTCATCTGAACTTAGTTTGGAAATTGGAAACGTCAATAGAGAAATAACCTTCATGTAACTGTGAAGTGTTTTCTGCGGTGGTGTGTGCTTCTGTTGTCTACCATATTTAGTGGCGGTTCTGGCATGAATGTGGCCTCGAGGTTCTGACAGCGCACGTCTGGTGATGGTTTGAGGGCATGATTACATTATTACATTATATATTATTAATTTTAGTTTTATTATCCACTATCATCTCCATTGCTTTAAATCATCTTTGAAAGCAACTAAACTGTGGTTTGCAAAACTGAGATTAATTTTAAATGGCGCAAGAGTACTTTAATTTTAAAACCGGATTAACTCATTTTAAAAATTGTTTTACTAAACTGAATGGTTGTTTGTCGAAGTGAGCCCTGGGATTGGCTGGCAACCAGTTCAGGGTGTACCCCGCCTAGGGGCTCGACGACAGCTGGAATTAGACTCCAGCACGCCCGAGACCCTTATGTAGATCGCCACATCCTGAAGACAGCTGGGCTAGGTTTCAGTACAGTATTCCCGCAACCCTCGTGAGGATAATGAATGAATGGATGGATATTATATACAGTATTCATGAAAATTCTATGTCATATTCCGGTTTCCTCCCACATTCCAAAAACAGAAAACCGGAGGCGCGCTTCCAATGACGTAATGATTCCGCCTCTTCCGCCTTTTTATCCAATCGTAGCCATTCTTAGGCATTTGCCGCTAAAACTAAACTCCATCCCGTCATTTCCTTGTGCATTGCAGTCAGTCAGCTACGGGTCGGAGCGTGAACTAGCCGAGAAGAGGTATGTTTTCAAAATGCTTCTTTGTGCTATTTGTGTCGGACTACCTTTCTTACTCACATCATTTATTCATATTACCAGAAAAAGCAAACGGCCAAAGCACCTAATTTGGGTTCCGTACCCTGTGTCATGGTTGATGCGCTGATAATTCTGTTTACTCTGACACACGTCTGAAACGATGAAAATGTTTCATACTATTCTTTTCCTCACTGACTGGCTGCTCACGACTCCAACTGCTCTACTCCTGCACCGACTGCAACAACTTATGTCTAAGCATTCCAATAGTGTAAGACTAAACCATTTTGCGAGGACAGAATTTTTCTTTTTTGCGAACGTTACTACATTTCACAAGAGTGTACAGTAAACTTTGCATCGATTCAGGAGGTCTTGAACACTCAACAAGGTTTGATTACTTATCCGTTGGGAATCAGAATATCGTTCACGTTTTTCCCCTGATCAATCCCGTGAGGAAAATTTAGAAGAATTAAAGGCATTTGCCTCGATGACAAATGGTGCGCTTTGTAGGTGACTGATGAACGAAGAGAAACATAAATTAAAATTTTATAGAATGCGTTGTATCTGGACTTGTAGTGATTTGAATTGTACACTTGAAGAAAATGTCCTGGTCGTTAAGATATACTGTAACTACACAGTCGAGCTAAAAATAAGTACAGTAAGCATCTTGATTTGATGTATGGGATAAGGTGGCAGATATTAGCCTCCTATTGGATAATTGATTTCTGATGGACACGTTTATACACCACTTATATGCAAATCCACCGGTTCCAAATTGCGAGTATGCAGGGGTCCACCGCACAGTGCATCCCGCATAATTGCAGACAGACATCAACAAATTCATTTATTTGTAATTTTTTTCCCAGAAACTTTTCTTCATTATTATTATAGCTGAAAAAACTCACCTATTTGCTGTTTTCTGCACAGACCAAAGCAAATAAAATGTATTACTTTGGTGCTGTGTTGTGGAATCTTGGCTAAAATGAGTTGAGGGTTTTCACTTGACAAAAGTAGTGCTCCACTTCCATCTTGTGGCATTGTGGGCACATCACCTTTTTGACGATGGGGCATCAATTATATGCAGATTATCGCAATTACTTGGTTCCTTACCAATACGACCAATACAGGGGAACACTGTATTTCCAAAATCCCCCAGCTTTACTTATCATAAAAAATGTACTGAACATTTGCTGGAAATGTACCACCCCTTTGCAACCCTAATTATTTGAAGTTTGTGTTTCAGTGTGAACTCTGAACATGGGCATCCCTGGCCTACTGCAGTTCATCAAAGATGCAGGAGAGCCAATCAATGTGAAGAAATATAAAGGCCAGACGGTGGCTGTAGACACATACTGTTGGCTTCATAAAGGAGCATTTTCATGTGCTGAGAAGCTCGCTAAAGGAGAACCAACTGATCAGTAAGTGTATTTGAAGATATATTGGTTGCAAAATCTTCAACGTTTGTTGTAATCTTTGCAAAGTGAGATTTGCGAGCGCGTTAATGTTTTTTTTTTTTTGTATGTGCCCACTTCTAGGTATGTATGGTACTGTATGAAATACGTGGACATGCTGTTTTCCTTCAATGTGAAACCAATTCTAGTATTCGATGGACGTAATCTACCTTCAAAACGAGAAGTGGAAAAGGCTCGCAGAGAGTGAGTTTAAACTTTGCAAATACTGTATATGAATGGAGATCAGATGCTGTAGAGGTGTTGGACTTTGTATTTGGGCCCAACTGATATGGAGTTTTGAGGCCGATGCCAATTTTTGGCATAAAAAAATTGAGCGATTAATTTAAATAGGATGAAATACATAATACATGCATTTGAGTGGGCATCAAGTATATGCAGATTTTCGCTATTGATGCACTGGCCTGGTCCTTATTCTCTGGCAATAGTGGGGGGTCAACTGTAAATATATTGCAGGGGGGTCTGACACCCTTTCTGGGTGGTGGCCAGACAATGAGCGTAGTTGTGGTAGAACTGTCAGAACCAGCATTGGCCTTGATTTAAAACAATATTTAAAATTAATAATTGAATTGTTAATTTCATCAAGTATAATAAAAAGATGTATCAATATTGAAGATGTTGTTTGCAGGTGGTGTATTTTTACTTCTGTGTCCAGACTTTACGAAACACCTTGTGGAACACAAGATTAAATTAAGAAAAAATAAAAATGATATAATGAAACAAATGCAAATGTCTAGTGGCCCAAAAAAAAAGTCCCAATCAAACTGTGTTAGTACAACTTCTTTTGAGTGGAAGTGCAAATTGGACTGGCCCTGGTTTTTACTTAAGAAAATGGCACCACATTTAATATTACAGTATTATTTCTGATATATTTGAGTTAAAACTTGTGGATTTCAACATTGCTTATTGTAGAGAAGATGTGATGAAGATATTTGTAATATGTTCCGTAGAAATAACACATTAAAACAAGTGTCTTTGTCACTGTAGCCCGGCAGTATTGATTGAAGTTCTATTGCAGCATCAATCATTTTCCCCACTGAAAAATCAAACATACTCGCCATTAGCTTTAATCCTGTTTTTTGTTGAGCTTTGATACGATATATTGAAAGAATAAATGTCATTGTATTTGCAAAATATATACCTTAACTGCATATTCCGTATTCATCTGCCCTCCAGGCGTCGAGAAGCAAACCTCCAAAAAGGCCGGCAACTGCTACGAGACGGCAAACTTTCTGAGGCCAGAGACTGTTTTACCCGGTGTGTCAACATCACTCCAGCCATGGCACATAATCTGATTAAGGTGCCCACACTCTCTCTTGTGTTCCTGCTTTCTTCTGATTTGTCCCCACGTAGTGCTATGAGCGTCTGGTGTAGTTGCTCAAACAAGAAATATTATTTTGCGGTCTGATCAAGGTGATACCTTTTCAATTTTGCTGTACATGAATCCCACTTCAACAAGAGATCTTGAATAAGAATACACTACAATGAGATAGAGGGAAGTGAAAGTAAGTAAATTTAAACCTGCATCCCATCAGCGAACATTTTTCAATATACTTTCTGCCGCCAGTTTTATTTCCTCAGTCTGATTATCAAATGCCGCTTGGTTTAATATATCACTAACAACCGCATATACTGTAAATATAGGATTATAAATGACACATCTCTGTGGGTGTGTGATTTATTAAGATGTAAACTACGTCAATCTGAGTTAATGTCATTTTTGTATGGATTCTTCTCAATAGGGTTGTAAGAGGTACGGTATACCCTGGACAGATCACTAGTCACTTGACAGAACACATAGACAAGCAAGCATACATTCTTGCATTTACATTGATGAGCTGTTAAGAGTCTTTTAGGAGGAAATGAGAGTGTCCACTTCATGTCAGGCTCCAGTCTTATGGTACACTAATGCAAGTCGCGAAGAAGTAACACTCTTCCGGGTGTATGTGTTTTGTTGTCCAAGGCCGCGAGGGCGAGGGGAGTAGATTGTGTCGTGGCCCCATATGAGGCTGATGCTCAGCTAGCATACCTGACCAAGTCTGGTTTGGCTCATGCAGTCATCACGGAAGACTCTGACCTTCTGGCATTTGGCTGTAAAAAGGTATTGAAAGAAATGATGATCAATTAATGCTCAGATGCGATTGACACTGTGGGAGAGGTGTTAATTTGAACCATATATTGTAGCTCGAGAACTGCTCTGTTTCATATTGAGGGCTCTGTCTCTCAGCTACAGTTTTAGCAACAGCTAAAACGTTAGCAACAGCACCCAGTGCAAAAGTTCAATAGTAACAGTACAGTAATAATTCTATGAAGTGTGGCCAAGAGGTGAGCTACAGTTTGTACTTAGCAAGAATTCAATCAAAAGGAGTCACAATATGTTGCTGGCCTATGTATGACTAGCCAGATATCTTCACAAGTCAGACATGATCTTTCATAACAACACAGGTGATCCTAAAAATGGACAAAGAGGGAAACGGCCTGGAGATTGACCAGTGCAACCTTGGTCGATGTCGCTCCCTGGGCAACGTTTTCACGGAGGAGAAGTTTCGCTATATGTGCATACTCTCCGGCTGTGACTACCTGGCCTCTCTGCATGGTATTGGCCTGGGCAAGGCCTGCAAGCTGCTGAGACTGGCAAAAGACCCCGATATCCTTAAGGTGAGATCACTTTCTATTCATGTTTCACTTTGCATATGCACAAAAATGCCTAGGCGGCGAGGGCAAAGAGGAAATCATTGAGAACCAGGCATGCATGCACTGAAACGCAATGAGATGCAGATAAATAATGGGCAGATTCTCTGTAAAATAATCTGGAAACTTCACACAGGAAGGCCCGAGTTGAAATGGCATATTCAATTAAGGTGCTACCTATTGAATTATCAGAAACATTGAATGTGTAAGGCTAGTTTCTGTTTCACAATTTCTATTACCTTTGCACGACATGTGGCAGATACAAATTATTACCATTCATTTTCTGATCCGCTTCTACTCACGTGGGAAATCCCGAACTGGTTGCCAGGGCACACGGAGACGAACAACCATCTGCGCTCACACTCACACCTAGGGACAATTTAGAGTGTTCCATCAACCTGCAATGCATGTTTTTGGAATGTGGGACGAGTACCCGGAGAAAACCCACGCAGGCACGGGGAGAACATGCAAACTTCATACAGGAAGGCCGGAGCCCGATTTGAACCCTGCACCTCTGCACTGTGAGGCCTGGGTGGTAATCAGTGGACCACCGGTCCGCCCTATCAAAGTTTGTTCAATGAAATGAACATTCTTCAATTAGCAATCACATGTTATGGCCAAATTATCTAGGAAAAGAAGAAAGTCAGTTAGTTGTAGTATTTCATATTGAATTAGTACAGTCCTGGTTTGTTTTTGATTTGTTTACGACTGTCCAGCCGTGCAAAGTTGCAGGGTTACAAATAGCACCAAATGAAGTCTTCTACACAGCGCCAAATGAAGGGATTGTCACGTGTCACAAGAAGGCATGATTATAGCCTAGCATGTTTTTTCGCACAAATATTTCCTGTAATTATGACTTTAATGCTGGGTTAGTAAGACTAGACTGCAGCACATTCCGATTTGCGTTCAAATTCAGGTGCTGAATTACCACTTTTGAAGCGTTTGGCATGACTTGTTTTGCATTGTGCCGTCTGCTTTTGGCGTCAGGTGATCAAGAAAATGGGCCAGTACTTAAAGATGGATCTCGCAGTCCCTGAAGAGTACATCGAAGGATTTGTCCGAGCCAATCAGACCTTTCTTTACCAGCTGGTATTTGATCCTGTCAGCAGGAAGATTGTCCCCCTCAACCCGTACGCAGACGACATCAACCCGGCCACTCTCAGTTATGCTGGAGTGTATCCTACACACTCGTGGGATAAATCTGAATTGAGGTATAAACGTTTTCGGAAACTGCAAATTTCTCAATAGTTTTCTACCCACTTGGGCAGCACAGGTACCTTAACTGTATCGGATGTAGGCCTGTCGGAGAAGACACAGCCTTGCAGATGGCCTTGGGGAACCTTGACATCAACACAATGGAGAAGATTGATGACTTCAACCCAGACAATCCTAAGACACAGGTACCTGATGCGTTTTTTTTTCCCCCGTCAACAATCAAATGGCTGACAATGTCAGCGCGACAATTCCTTTCAACACAAAGGGGCGCGCGGGTGGACACGAACCCTCCCTATCACACTGGAAGGTGAGATGGGGAAAGAGAAGTGCAAAGGTTGATGACCACGGTCAAAGAGGCTTGTTTTAAGAATAATGACAGAAATTCCCTCTTTGATCCAGAATAACTCCCAGATCTCTCCCCAGCCCGCAAAACACCGCAGTCGCAGCTGGAATGAGAGCAGGGTCCCCGGTCCTGCTGGGCTCAGTATTTGGAGTGGTAGCGGGAAGGTGACGTCGATTGCACCGGCCCAGCCTTCTGCCTCCCCTGACAGGCCCCCGTCCACCAGGGGGAAGGAGAGAGTCATCAACCTGGCTGCGGTCAGGCTTCCCTGCAAAACCGTGCAAGTGAAGAGACCGCGAGAAGGTGAGACAGTCACATGAAGCTGAAATACATCCCGGCATTTATTTATACTGACAAAATATTTACTCACTGGAAAAAAAAATATGAAACGACATGTCTAACAGCCATTTTTTTAATAAAGTTTAATGCATTCATGCATCAAAACAACGTGAGTATGGTTATCTTTGAAAATGTTTCTCACGATTCTGAGCTGAAGTTGTGGCAGAAAAACTTAATTTCGAGCAGGGGTCATCAACATGGTGCCCATGCGCACCGGGTAGCCGCGAAAGACCACTGGCCTGTCCTAAACATTGTTGATCAGTGATTAAACAATGTGGCTTCCCAGGAATGTTGTCAAAGTGATCATTCAAAAATATAAAGACTTGCCAAGACTTTATATGAAGAAAGTATTGCACATTGATATTAATTATTCCTACATTGGTGATTAAAACTCATTAAATCGCAGCCATTCTCACTGGAGCAACCCCCTCAATCCCAGCGTTTTACTGGATTTTGACTGATCTTGCAAGGCCCACAGAATATTTGGTTCTCATGCTATGTAAACATGGAGCCTACCAAATTAAAGTTTGGACTCTCTCCTTTCAGAAGAAAAAAAATAGTTTCTATCTTTTTCCATTCTTCAGCAATCAGCTTTACAAAATGGCTAAGTTTCATGAAAAAGGCGATTCCTGGGCAAAAAAAAAGAGAAAAAGAGCTTTTTGTAAAAGCATGCCTCTCAAGCACGTGAGGCACCACTGCCACCTACCGGTCGCTTTTTTACATGATTTACAATGCAAACGGCGTATTCTCATTCACAGATTGCATCAGACCCTCCTCCTCTCTATGACGCAAAAAAAAAGACTTAGACGTACAAGTACGTCGTTGGTAGGCGGGGCCTAATTTTAAAAAGACGTACAAGTACGTCTTGTGGAATGAAAGAGTTAATATTATTATGAGAAATCATGAACATGATCTGTCTTCACACACACTACAAGTAAAAAATTTGAACACTCATAGGATGCCACCTGGTTGGCGCCAGGCTGGCCGCCCAGTAGGGGAACAGAGGCCGGACCACCTGACACTCGCCACAGCTCGAGCCCACCCAGTCCAACCATATCCCAATGACTGACTGAAGTTTACTCCTGGAGGTGCTTTGCCAGATTAGCTTTGATGAAAGCAATGTCAAGTTGTATGAGAATGATGCTAAAGAGAAAAGTGTGACAGCTCGTGAACCAAAGCATCCCACATCATGTGGTCAGCACGTTTGTGCAAATGGAACAGACTCCTTACTTTTTTATTGATGGGACCTGCTGACAGAAGTAACAAGCTGAATTGTGAGATGTATTTGTGCGTTGTTCACTTTAAGCCAAATGCTACTAACTGGCGGTCAGAACTGTGACTTTCTCTCAACTTGTGAATGGTTGATTAGCAATACTGTATGCGCCTTGTGAACTCAGGCTGGACAGGCTCCAGCTCAACCACAAACTATTTGGGCGCATGAAAACAATTCTTTCATTAGATAATACTGTACATGTCATGTCTTTCGGTTCATGTTAACATTTTCGGGGACAGCGGTTACCACAGTGGACAGCTTATCATGTCATCAGGTAACAGGGTGCATGAAAGGGTTCATTATCCCAATAATATCGATATAGCAATGGTCGACACCCACACGGGATATCAAATATTTTTTTCAATATTGTGCAGCCCAAGTGGAAATGATTTCGGTTTGTGCACTTTGACTGCATTTGCACCTTCTTTTCTCTCCCTGCCACAGACAGGAGTCTATCAGATCAAGATGTTCTGCAGCAGTACTCCTCCGTTGTGAAGCGATCCAAGTCAGACCAGCAGCCAGAAACGCAAAAGTTAATACCAATCGGTCAGCCACGGCCACGCAACCGCTTTGCCACACTCCTGCAGAGGAGGAACCAGGATGTCGATGACGAAGACCAGGCCATGAGCAGCAGGTGATCTTTTTTTTTTTCCATTTTTACCTTGAACAACAGGAACATATTAGCAATGGTGATATTCATATTGATGATATGTTTTAATAACTGTCTTTTATCTTCAGATAAACTGCTGGAATCACCCCCCCCCCCAAACCGATACCATTTCTCAACAATAGGGATTTAAATTTTTGTATAAGTATGCAGCAAGATTAAATCTCTCTTTGTTTCCACATGCAGATTCTTCAGCAATTCCAGTTCAGCTGCCATCAATATAAAGGAATCTGCTCAGGTGGGTTTCGGTCAGAGTGTGGGGCCCCAAGCTACAAGCCCTCTTGAGCACACTTCCATGCCCGAGTGCTCAGAAGGGCCCGAAGCCCCAAGCGTGGAAACACCCAGCCCACCCACTTCTCCGAATCGCACTTCCCCCCATTCAGGCAGTCAGGGCCTCAGACTCTTTAACTGGTCAGACAGTTCGCCCTCGACTGATCGATCACAGACACTGAAGTCTAGTTTAGGCCTGGATGGCCTGCAGCAGTTCCAGTATAAGAAGGACCGTCTCTCCTTATCCACTAAGTCCTCAGTTCACAGAAGCCCAAAAGAGGAGGACAACCTCAAAGTCTCTCTTTCTTCCCAGGACAGCGCCTATTTTTCCCAGTCCCAGCCTTCCCTTGTTTCTTTATACAAAGACGAAACACCCCACTGCGGCCACAACTTCTCCCATTCAGTGCCCGTAAGTTTGTACAAATCAATACATCCTGTGCAGTTAAGCCGCATTTCCACGTATATGAGCAGATTTGCATGATTTTGTGCCTGATGTTGAAATAGTATTTCACGTTATCTCAGGAAATGGATTCTGAGTCCGAGCAGAGTCCCGCGTGCTCCAACGATGCCGAGGATACATTTGGATTGATACAATTAAAGGTGGGTTTATCGAGCTGCAGCACCATATTTGAGAAAATTTGAATTGTGAGGGGTCCTCGGTTCACAACAGAGTTCTGCTCCTAGTAGGGGTTGATTGATTTGATTTGCCAATACTCACTAATCTTTCTTGCGTCATGGGCGGGTTTCACATAAAGACGTATACAGTGAATCCGGAAAGTATTCACACTTCACTTTGTCCACATTTTGTTATCTTACAGCCGCATTCCAAAATGGAATAATTCCCCCCCAACCGTCCACACACACACCACAGAATGACAATGTGATTTTTTTTCTTTTCTGTAAATTAATCCATCCATCCATTTTCCGATCCACTTTATCCTCACAATGGTCACGGATAGGCGTGCTGGAGCCTATCCCAGCCGTCTTCGGGCAGTAAGCGGGGGACACTCTGAACCGGTTGCCAGCCAATCGCAGGGCACACACAGACGAACAACCACCCATGCTCACAATCACACCTCAGCCCAATTTAGAGTGTTCCACCAACCTGCCATGCATGTTTTTGGAATGTGCGAGGAAACCGGAGTACCCTGAGAAAACCCACGCAGGTACGGGGAGAACATGCAAACTCCACACAGGAAGGTTGGAGTTGAACACTTCACCTCTGCACTGTGAGGTGGACGCACTAAGCAGTCACATGTATTTAAGTATTCGCAGCTTTTGACACAAAGCTCCAAATTGAGCTCATCATGTTTCCACTGATCATTGATCATCCTTGAAAGTTTCCTACAGCTTAATTGGAGTATAGTTGTGGTAAATTCAGTTGATTAAACACAATTTAAAAAGATAAACACCGATTTGCCTACATAAGATCCCACAGGTGACGGTGCATGACAGAGCACAAATCACGCATGAAGTTAAAATAATTGTGTGTAGGCTGCCGAGACAGGCTTGTTTTGAGGCACAAATCGAGTGAAGAGTATTCCTGCTCCTTTGATGGTTCAGATGAGTACAGTGGACACCATCATCTGTAAACGAAAGAAGTTCCTAACCAGTAGGACTCTTCCAAGAGCTGGCCTGCCATCTAAACTGAACAATCGGGGGGAAGGGCCTTAGTAAGGTGACCAAGAACCCGGTGGTCCAGTGGTCCTTTGTGTGAAGAGAGGAGAACCTTCCCGAAAGGACAACATCCCTGCAGCACTCCACCAATCTGTCCTGTATGCTCGAGTGGCCAGACAGAAGCCACGCCTTCGTAAAACACATATGGCAGCCCACTTGGAGTTTGCCAACAGGCGCCTGAAAGATCTCACACCAGGAGAAATAAAATTCTCTGATGAACCAAAGATTGAACGCTTTGGCATGAACCCCAGGTGTCATGTTTGGAGGAAACCAGTCGGTGATCATCACCTGACCAATACCATCTCTAAAGTGAAGAATGGTGGTGGCAGCAGCATCGTGCTTTTGGGATGCTTCTCAGTGAAAAGAACTGGGAGACGAGTCAGGATGGAGGCAAATATGAATGAGCAATGTCCAGAGACATCCTGGATGAAAACCTGCTCCAGAGTGCTCAGGACCTCAGACTGGGGCAAAACTGCCCAAAGACAGATGTGGCAAGCTTGCGGCATTATCTTGAAAAAGACTCGGTGCTGGGATTACAGTAAAAAATGCATGAGCAAAGGCCATGAATACTCTGATACATGTGATGTTTTAGTTTACTGTTTTTAATAAATTTGCAAAAATTTCCCCAAAACTTTTTGGGGTGTTGTGTAAAATTTTGAGGGGGGGAGATGAGTACAGTTTTCACAGTTGATGCATTCCCAGCCATCGTAACTCCTCAGTAAATTGGCCGACTGGAAGACGAAATGCGCAAAACGCAGGATTCACGCTTTAAACATCGATGTGGAATAGTGAAGTCAACTAATTGATTAATTGGTTCAACCACTAGTTCCTACAATGACAATGTTACAAATTTGTCCACTAGCTGTAATGCACCCTAATCTATCCCTCATTTACATAATGCAACTGTGATGTCAGAAAGTAAATATTTTCGTGGGGGGGGGGTGATCACTTGACCTTGTTGTGCCATGTGAAGATGGGATTCATATGCAGCTGGGCAATTGACTTCATTGCACACCGTTGGCAGGCTCCAGCTATATTTTGGTCCAGCCGTGAACCGAGGATTGCCTCTTGTTTATTTCATGTGATGATGGTCACTTTCGCAGCACGGTGAAAGACTGGTTGAGCGCATCTGCCTCACAATGCACAAGAGTCTAGTTTCGAATTCCTTCTTGTGTGGCGTTTGCGTGTGTGCTTGCCTGGCTTTTCACTGGGGAATCCGGATTCCTCCCACATTCCAAGAAACAGCATGTTACGCCATATTAAAAAAAAAAAAAAGATAAACCACTAGTGTCAAACAACAGGCCCTAGGGCCAGATCCAGCCCTCCGTATCATGAAAGACAATTTTAGTGGCAGCCTGTGAAAAGCTCTGGTGAGCTCTGGTGAACAGTAAAGCGAGGGTCCGATCAGGGTTTTATGCTGCTGACTTCGATACCGATCATTTATGAGTGAAATCAGCCAATACGATCACCCGGACAAGCTGCACATTTTTCAATTTAAGGGAGCTTCTAGCTATTTATTATGAATTGAGAGATCATATTTTTAAATTAAAAAAACATTCATATCCAAATTTCCATCTCTTTGCTATTGAAAAAACAGGACATGAATTCAAATTGACAGTACTGGTACAAAAAAAAACAACTGCATAAGCATATCTTATGATTCAGTTCCTGTTTTGGTCAGTAGCATGCAGTGTTAAAGATATTGGGAGGGGAAGCTTCACTGCACACAGACTGGTCTCCTCTTGGCTGCAGGCTGCAATGTGTGTGCTGGGTTTGATCGTTTTTTTTTTTTTTTTTTTTTGTGATCGGCAATAAAAGGCATTTTGGATAATCGGCAATTTTTATACAGTGTTTTCACTTGGTGGTGGTGTCACTTTTTCCTCCCAGTGATTTCGACATTACTGGCTGTGTTTTGAATTACAGTCAAACCTCGGTTTTCGTCCATAATCCGTTCCAGAAGGCTGTTCGAAAACCGAAATTTTTCGAAAACTGAAACCGCGCTCTTTTTAAAATAAAAATGTTTACTGAACACGTCTGCTCACAATGGAAAGCAACACGAGGAAGCGTCACTTACTAGTGTAAGGAAGGCGAGAGGAGTCAAATGGTGCATTCATATGCGCTCAGTTTGTTCGAGAACCGAAACTTCTTCGTCATCCGAGGCATAAAAAAACTCAAAATTTTTGGTTGAAAACCGAATTGGTCGAGAACCGAGACGTTCGAAAACCAAGGTTTGACTATATTTTGAGGGGACAGTAAATTTACGGTTACGCAAGCTGTGCACTCAGTGCTTTCCATAATCAGGATAAGGACAAATAGCGAAGTGCCAGGAAGTATCCCCCTCCTCCATACAGCACAACTTTTGTGCAACAGCGGTATTGATGTCTGCAGTGTTGTCACTAAAATCAGCCTTTAAAAAATGTCTTATTTTTGTTCTAAAATAACATGACAACAAAACTTGGAAGGGAATATTTTTGGGGAAGAAAATGATGTGGTATGCTTGCATTTTATATGTGATGGTATGTGTGGTACAGTATATGGATTTTTCCACAACCCTCATTGTTTTCTTTCTCCTTGTTTCCCTTTCCCCATATCATCACTCCAGGTCACAGGTCTGTCGAAGCCCAAGAAGCTTAAAAGTCTGGTTAAAGCCACAAAGGTGCACGCATTGGGCCCAGCAAGGGCCAGTGGATTGAGGAAGAAATCCTCCGCAAACAACGAGAACAACCCTAGTTTCCAGGCCACCATCAGTAGTCTGTGGAAAAATTACAGCTTCAAAAAGTAACTTTTTTTGTATTTTTGGGGGGGGGGGGGGGTCATGTTTTTAAGTAATAGAAGAATAGTCTTTGAATGCAAAACTGATCGCACTGGACATGAACCCTGCTGGATTGGAAGCCAGATTGGTCAAATGTCGAGATTACCTGATTCCGACTCCATTTCTGTAAACAGACTGGCATTTTGACTGATCGTGGCTGTGATGCTTATATCCATGACTTAAGTTTCTGTTGTTGTAAAAGAGAAAAAAAAAACCCTTGTATTTGGGGGTTTTTTTTTTTGTTTTGTTTTTTTTTTGGAGACACCCAAAATATGATGTCTTGCAAGAAAGGAGACCCGATGTCTGCGCTTGAATGCAATCTGTTGGCTAGTTCACAGCAAACAAATGCCTCACAATCAGGCACCTCTGGTGCTTGTTATGAATAGTTCACATAGTGCTCAGCACTTTTTTTTTTTTTACACAATAAAGTTATTGTATGTTTTGTCTATCATACCGTAAACACTGAAGGAAGTGGGGTGGCATAGTATTTTTTTGCAGTCAAAGAATGTGTCAGGTAGTGGAAGTGATTGAGTGTTGACAGAAAATTCCCGGCCTGCATGCATGCACAACAAGATTGTGGCGATAATGATTACGGTTGGTTTGGTATTTCGAAGGTTTCCTCACAAGTCTCTGTGGGAATGACTGTAACAAATGAGCTCTCAAATGAATTGAATGAATTTGAAGTCCTACTTAACAGATGGGGTGGTGTGAAATAGGACTGGTTTATTTTCTGATCCATTTTGCACGCAAGTAAAATGAATCTACCTCCAGATATTCAGTGGGATTTGATATTTACTGATATAGGCACCGACCCCCTGTTTGCTACAATGAGTTTTTCATGCAGGCTGTTTGGGGTCAATGTTAGTCCTGGGCTAAATTATCATCAGAGTCTAGCCAGTTTGTACAAGTGCACATTGAGGCACATTATTTACACAGATTAAAAAATAAAAAATCCGGTCATGGCCTGAAAGGACTCTGGCATTACCACATTTAAATAGTCATTTATTCATATTCGTCCGTTCTTCCTGTTTTGGGTTACAAGTGACCCGGTCAGTGCCCGTCTCAGCTAACTTTGGCAGGGTATGCTCTGAACTTGTTGCCATCCAATTGCAGGTCACATATTAGTAAATGACCATTTATTCACAGTGACACGGATTGGCAAATTAGACTCTTTCATCAACCTTATGTGCTAGCATTGGGAGAAAATGCACAACAGCTCCACACATAAAGCACTGCGAGACAGACTTCTTAACCAAATGCTGCACCTGACACACCCTGACTTAATGCTTTGTATATTTGATCCAATTAATGAACTGTTCAAAGGTTTTCCTTTACAAGCCAGCGTTAAACCTGTTCGACTAACACTTTACATTTCGGGGTTCTGTTCTAAAGCGTCTGAGAAATGGTACCAGTTTTATTAGCATCGCGGTCACAATGTTACAATGCTGTGTCGATGCCTTTTCTCCTCTTTCGCTTCATGGAAAGTTACTTCCTCCTCCTCTTATCACTGCACAGCCACAAACAGCAAGAAGTGCCCTGTTGTCTTGGATTTGTTCCAGGACTAATTACATAACAATTGAGCGTGTAATACTGTTTTTGCCTCCTCCTTTCATGTTTGTGGTGATGGAAAGAACAAGTGAGAGGATAGCATCATCTGTTTTCATTTTCTGCTTCATGACCTGTGTAATTCTCCGCAATACGGATCCTTTTGCTTCTACAATAAGAGTGAACAGTACCAGCATAATGTCAGTTAGGGTCCATCAGATGACACTTTTTTTCCCATACATGCTTCCACCAGGCAAAATGTCTGTACAGTGTACAAATAAACTTCTCAAATAATGCTAATTTAGCATGAATTTCCTTTGTGTGTGTCTGTCTGGAACTATATCTGATGGCTTTGTCCGTTGACACAGTGACATCTGCCCCCTATTTGTTGTGACTGGTGTGTCCCTTTTTTTCCATTGGCCCACTGCAATTTGAACTTTGCTTAGCAAAGTTGTCAAATGTATGACAGACCCAGTATACTGAAAAAAAAAAAACTGGATGTTGAATTTACTCAATGGCTGCAACATATTAGACTCTGGATTTTGATTTTTATTATTTTATTTTGTGCAACCACTTCAAATGAAACTGAATAAATGCAACAACACAGTTTTTCATTGTATTTAGCAGTTAAAATGTCATTTCATTGGTTAACTGTTTAAATGAACAAGAAATAAAAGCACTTTCTCTTGAGATTAATAATATTGCTGATGGAAGAAAACTGAACATACAGAAATAGACAAACTTTTTGGGGGTGTTGTTTAAATATAAAAATATCCTGCTCTATTTACAGTAATGATGTTAAATTACCAAAATTAGTGTGATGTATTGCCAATAATACCCAAAGTAATGAGTCATATAATTGTTGTCATTATCAGTGGCAGCAAAAATACCCACACTGTCTTAAAATAGAAGTACAGATACTTGACTCGATTTAAGCAAAAATTAAAACATACAAACAGAAATGTAGTTATTAAGTACAAAAGTAATTTGGCTTTGGCTTTTATGCTCTCAAAACAATGGGTTCCCATTGTTTTGTTAATATTATCTCACAAAAAAAAAAAAACTTAATTTAGCTCATGGTAACTTGAAAAAAAATACAGTCTACCTGACAGAATTTTTGAACGCCAGAAGCTGGTGGTTTTGAAACTGGCATATGACACAACAAATTAGCTACAAATTATTCATTGAGCCAACCACATTAAACCGTTCTAAATGTGGCCATGGATGGGGAATACTGTAGCTTGCATTTCCTCTCCTGATAACTTCATAACACTGTCTGCACTAGGGTGGCGGCACGGTAGACGACTGGTTCGCACATCCGTCCCACAGTGCAGAGGTGCAAGGGTTCGATTCCAGCTGCAGCCTTCCTGTGTGGAATTTGCTTATTGTCCCTCTGCCTGCGTGGGTTTTCTCTAGGTAGTCCGGTTTCCTCCAATATTCCAATAACATGCATGTCAGGCTAATGGAACACTCTAAATTGTCCCTAGGTGTGAGTGTGAGCACGAATGGTTGTTCGTCTATATGTGACCTGCAACGAGTTCAGGGTGTACCCCACTTACTGCCCGAAGACAGCTGGGATAGGTTCCAGCATGCCTGCAACCCTCGTGAGGATAAATGGATTAGAAAATGGATGGATATGTCTTCACTAGGTTACCATATTTTGACTTCCCCAAAAAGAGGAGAATCGCCCCGGCCTCGAGATACTACAACGATCCTTAAAAATGTGATACATAACTTTAATATAGGACTGCATAATGTAGTAAAAACATCCGATATGGTGTTGCATTTTGCAATCATGATATTACTGCGACATATAATGTGTACCTAAAGAAATGAAATGTTTATTGTCTCATGAAAGAAATGCATTTTTTCATGCAGAAAAATACGAATGTATTCTATCTAATTAGGTTATTTAGTGTGCCAGTAGCATATGCTTGTCTCAGAGATTAAACCATGCAAGCCTGAATACACATGGACTGTAACCTAAACAAGAAGAACAATGCTGCTAGGGATTGTTGAGAGAGTTGTTTTGATCAACTCAGCAAATTCTTGAACTCAAACTTTTCAATAAATTCGAATCAGGATTCCGACTTTATCATAGTACAGAAACGGCTCTTTTTCAGTCATGACTGATGTAAGATTGAGCACTGACACAGGGAAGGTGTCAGTGCTCGTCTTATTCGATCTCAGGGAAATATTTGATACAAGTGATCATAACATAATGTTGAACAAGTTGGAAAGTTGGGTAAGATTAAATGGATCAGTCCTACAATAGTTCAAGTCCTGATTGGGGGTTAGCGTGTGGGGAAGGAGTTCATTTGTGACCATTGGAAGTTTTGAATCATATCAAATGGCCATAACAAGGGGTGCCTCAAGGGTCAGTCCTTGGACCCCTACTGTTCAGTCTGTAAATGTTAGCTTTGGGTCAAATGCTTCAGAACGTCAATGTCGGCTATCGCAGTTCTGCAGATGACATACAGGTATATCTATCAATGACCCTAAACGATAGGAGTTCAATCAATGTGGGGTGTCACTTTCCAGAGCAGGGGTGTCCAAAATCCGACCTTAAGGGCCACTGCCCTGCCTGTTTTCTATCTCTCCCTGCTGCCACACAAGTGATTCAAATAATCAGGATTGTTATCTTGCTTCTTCAGAGCTTGCTGATGACCTGATCCTTTGAATCAGGTGTGTTTCAGCAAGGAGAGATGGAAAACAGGCAGGACATCGGCCCTTGAGGACCGAGTTTGGATACCCCTGGTCTATTGCAACTTAACAACTCAATTAACCAACATTTCCTTCAGCTAAACCCGAACAAAACAGAGATTGTTTTGGGCAAAAGGGAAAATAGGATTGCTGTTAAACACATACAGTGACTGTCTTTAGAAATCAAAGGCCAAGTCCGAAATCTTGGGGTGCTGATATACTCAGACCAGCAATCACTAAAACAGCCTTTTAATAGCTGAAAAACAAATCCAGACGGAAGGGTTGCATGCTACAAACAGACCAGGGGTCCGTTTCACAAAGCGGGTTTCGGGATAACCCCAAATCTGTTCACCCTAAAATGAGGGAAACTGAGTTTTCCGCTTCAAAGAGAGGTACCGGTAAGTCAAACCAGAGAAAGAGGGTTAACTCGAGCCTGTTTCAGAGAGAGAGATGTCACTTAAGCTCTCGGTTAGTTCCCGCAGTAACAGATTCTATGAATCTAAACTGGCTGAGACCGGGTTTTTCTCAATGAACCTCGAGTTTTTGTCTGCCTCCGCCCCCTTTCAGAGCAATACACTCCATTTTATTTCCTCATTCATTCAGTCAGCAAGCGAGGTTTGGCATAGCCTACTCCTGCCGCGAGTCATTAAAAAAAAAAATTTTAAATCAGACACCGTATGAGAGGTCCATTAGGCACAGTAGGTGGAGACAAACATGGCATGTCATTTTGATAATGATCCCGCAAGATGTAGGTGCAGCATTGCTGTGCAGAAAATTTATTACCGGTATTCATCAGGAGATTGTTAGACTGTGCCTAGATGTTTTAGCATTTTCAGACAATTATCATTTTGAGCCGTCCATCTACGTATGCAATCTAATCTGCCCTTAGATTTGCAACATTACCAATCATATCATGCTCTCACATTCCAGCAGATATTGTGTGTTGCTGTGCATTTCTTCGCAAATTGAGTTTTTGTTTTAGTTTTGTTTTTTCGTTTTTTTTGTACTTAAGGCAACTGCATGCAGTTGGCGCAGCAGCCAGCCTCTCCTCCAATTACCACCCCTAGACCAATGGCCAAATTAAACGGACTAATCAAGACTTGTAAGCCAGTTAGTGTGGTCGCTGCACACCATCCTGTGATTTATAGCTCCTTTCTTCCCTGGCATGAATACCGTATGCCCACAATCCCTTCACCTGCTCCGGGACAGGTATTTTACACATGTATCATGAGGTGTTAAAGACAGATGTATACTGAGTGAATTTTATAACAGTCGGCATTCTCCAATGTTGCCATGGGGCAAAATTCTTGAGCTAATCCAGATACCAGCCATGCTTTGGTTTCTTTTGAACCAGCCTGACTTAGTGTTGCACAAGGGCCAAAGGCCTCACTGATGGCTTTAGCCTGGAAACATGAGTTTCCTCATTAGGCCAGCATGTCTGAGACGATGTGTCTTGTCTATGTACTTAAGTTTGCTTTCAAGTTGTTCACTTATTTCATTTATTAAAAAAAATGTTAATTACATTTTTCCATAATGTTGAATGAAAATAATAATTCTATTACATGTCTGTTATCTATTCGATATAATATATATAGTTCGAGCTAGAATTTTGCGATTAAAAACATAACTGAAAAATGTGAAATGCTTTTCAATGGAAGGCCACATTGTACATTCATTTACGTTAATTTTCCTTTTGATTGTAACTATGAGTTTCCAGCCATCCATTTTCTATCCCACTGATTCTCATTAGGGTTGCCGGTAAGATAAGGCCATACCAACTGACTTCGCACCACAGCAGACGCTGCACCGATCCACCTGTCAATCTCCTGCTTCACTCGTGAACACAACCCCAAGATACTTAAACTCCTCCACTTGTAGCAAGATATCATACCTGTCCCGAAAAAGGCACTCCGCCCTTTTCCGACTGAGGACCATTGTTTCAAATTTGGAGGTACTAATTTTCATCCCAACTGCTTCACACTTGGCTGTGAACTGCTCCAGTGAGAGTTGGAGATCGCAACTTGAAGAAGCTCAAAACTGAGGCCACCAAACTGGACTCCCTCAACGCATCAACTGCACCTATAAATTCTGTCCATAAAGGTTATGAACAAAATTGGTGACAAAGGGTAGCCTTGGCGGAGTCCCACCTTCACTGGAAATGAATCTGACTTACTCCCGGCAATGTGTACCGAACTCTGACATTGCTGAGATAGAGACCGAACAGCCCCATCAGCAGGGGTTTCGGTACCCCATACTCCCGAAGCACCCCCTACAAAGCTGTCAGAGGGACACGGTCAAACACCTTCTCCAAGTCCACAAAACACATGGTGACTAGTTTTCTCCAGTCGACTCGATTATTATCATATCATCGTCTTTTGACTGGACTGCCTCAAAAGAGCATCAAAAGCTGCAGCTCATTCAGAATGCTGTAGCTCAGCTTCGGACAAAAAAAAAAAAAAAAGAGCTCAGAACATATTAATCCAATCCTCCAGGCTTTACAGTTGGCCCCAATCAGCTGTAGAACAGATTTGAAAAGTTATGACGCTATAAATCTGTAAATATGTCTATAAATGACTGAACGGTTCGGGTCCTG